ACACACACAGGCAGGGACTTGGTAGTATGGCGCAGTGGGTATTCTCATTCCCAAAGCGATTCTCGATGCAGCTTGAGTTCCTGAAGGGGAACGTCTCTAGGTTACGTATGTAACCATGGTTCCCCAAGGGAACGAGACACTGCGTCTCTTTGCCGTGTTTGTGCTCACGTCACCCCGCTCGTGATGTCTTGCTGCTCCATTGGGCTGATTTTACACGTGCTTCAGAACGCGGTCATGCAGGTGCATTCCCAAAGCAATTCTCGACGCAGCGTCTCGTTCCCTCGGGGAACCATGGTTACATACGTAACCTAGAGTCTCTAGGGTACGTATGTAACCATGGTTCCCCGAGGGAACGAGACGCTGCGTCTCTTTGCCATACTCCCTGCATCCCTGCAGGCGCTACTTCATCGAAGCTGGTTTGCGCCCGGCCGGATGTGCCTTTATGCTTTCTGGTGCTTACGTCACCCTGCTCGTGACGTCTCGCTGCTCCATTGGACGGGTTTGACACGTGCTTCAGAACGCGGTCACGCAAGGGCGTTCCCAAAGCGACTCGACGCAGCGTCTCGTTCCCTCGGGGAACCATGGTTACATACGTAACCTAGAGACGTTTTACTTTAAAGGATTCTTAAGGACTTAAAGGATTCAGTTTGCATTTAAGTATATTTTATATACTTTATATAAATACCTATATTTTTTATAGTAGACTATTTATGTAATAAGTACTCTTTTTAAAAGCTGTGTAAAAATAAGTGTACCTTTTTCACAAGGTTTAACTATGTCATATTATGTGTGTATGCACATTTTAAAACAAAAACGTGAAAACATTTATGAAGTAATACATGCACATATGAAAACATATATCACCCTTGAAGTAATTAAGTATTGAATATGGAATTTGTTTCTGTGATGTATTCTGTGAATCAGTATTTTTATACAGATTTATTTTTTCAGCTCTCATACAAACTATGGGAATAATGGGGCCCATGTTTGGATTCATGCTAGGATCTTTCTGTGCCAAGCTCTACGTGGACATAGGAGCAGTGGACTTAGGTATTCCCCTGTTTGTTCAACTGATAATGGCTCTTTGCCCTACACTGATCATATGATGTTGTTTTGCACATTTCTAGAAAAAAAAAATCCCAGCAACCTTTTTTTGAAGGTATTTAACATACAAACTAGCATTTGTACCTTCAATTTTATTATGTCATAGTTGCTTGTTGCATGTGAATTATGTGAAAAGTAGATGTTTGTCTTTTAGTCTAATCGATTGACAAGGCCACTTTTACAAATTTGGTTGAAAAGTTTAACTTTAAAAAAAGCACCCTGAATACGCAAGAGAATAACTCTGCATTAACACACTATTGCCTTAAGTCAGTAATCATGATTTTTAATAACTATGATAACTAGTCTTCTATTTATTTACTGACCCAGTAAGTTACCCTTTGACTTAAGAGGTCTTCGGTCCTACTGTTTGTTAGGATTTCAAGTTATAAGCACTTCTGGCTCATTTATGAAAATGCACACGTCTTTTTTTTTTTTTTTGAAGATTCCATCACTATCAACCACAAAGACTCACGTTGGGTTGGTGCCTGGTGGCTGGGCTTTTTGTTAACTGGTGGAGTGATGTTACTGGCCGGAATTCCCTTTTGGTTCCTTCCCAAGTCTCTTCCTAAGCAGGGTGAGACTGAAACTGTGAAACAATCTAATGTTGTAGAGGGCGAGCAGGAGCGTGATGTTACTGGCCGGAATTCCCTTTTGGTTCCTTCCCAAGTCTCTTCCTAAGCAGGGTGACAACAACCCTGACAACCCTGAACAACCTTTCATTCCTGACAACAACAAGCACAGTAATGCTCCCGACAAACCAGCTCCAGTTTCCATGGCAGCTCTGGCTAAAGGTATGCATTTCATCAAATATTTCATTTTGATTTTTTTTTTCATGAGGTTTGGTTATTGAGCCAACATACTGTAACCCTTGAACTTCCGTAAAGTTCTTGATATTTTCTAGATTTTCTGCCATCACTGAAGAAACTCTTCAGCAACACAATTTACATGATCTTCATTATCACCACTATCATACAAGTCAATGGTTTTATAGGTCTGATGACATTTCAGCCAAAGTACATGGAGCAAACTTATGGCCATTCAGCATCAAGGGCCATATTATTAATAGGTGAGTTTACATTTGCCTATGTTTTTATCTGTTTAATATTAATTTCCAGTATGTCAAAATACACATAGTGAAGCCTTTATACAAAAGGAGTGCCACTTGCTGTCCCTCTTATTCAAATATGTAAAAAAAATAAAATCATCACAAAAAAGCAAAATTCACAAAAATCATCTGATGCCAACAAAAAGGCCTGTACCCAGCCCTGAGTTTCTGGGTCTTTCTGCTCTCTTCCCCCCAACCCCGTGATCTCCTGTGGTTCCCAGCACTTTGCCAGCTAATCATTCACTAATTATTCATTAGTTTCCATGGTTTTAGTTCTCTGTGCTCCCATTCTTATCATGTAATGGTTACTGATTTGATTACCTCATTATTGATTCCTTTCACCTGTGTCCCGTCTTGTTTCTTTTGGTAGTTCTGTGTATTTAAGCCCTTGGTTTTCCTCAGTTCCTTGTCCTGCATTAACATTGCTTGTTTTGGTTAGCATTGCTTTATTCCTGTTCCTGTATTCTCCTGAGAGTTAATTTGCTAAAGACTATATAGCATATTCTCTGTTCACTTCTCGTGCTGCCGCTGACTGATATATGAATTGCGTATATAACAGCGCTTCCGCCAGCGCACAATCACGATAAATATACACTGTGTACTGTATACTGTATACACAGAATTACAGTATTTAAGTAGGCTATTCACGCAAACATAATCTGTTATGTCTTAAGTGAACATTTGGAGAACTGCTGGGGGAAAACATCTGATGTGTAACATTATATTAGATCTTATTTATCTTATTATTATATTTAATCTAACAATAGGCCTATAAGAAAAGTTTGCTGATCTTGATTGATCTGCTTTTGCAGTTTTAATAATCAATTTATTTGTAATGAACACACTGAATGAAAAGCGTTCTCTTCCACCTTCAGTACCTACAACTGAGATGCCCTTAAGCAAGGCACTGAACCAACAATTGCTCACTGGGTGCCACAGCAAAAAAAAAAACAACAACAACAAAAAAACAAATAAATATGTGGAAAAATAATTATTTTCAACCCTCATTCTGCACTTCTCTCAGAAACAGGCTGATTTTAAGGGGTGTGTCCCTTAAGGCTTCTCAGGAATCAGCCACTGTTATTATTGGCTAACATCATTGCATAGGAAACAGTATCATTAGGGCCTTTCGCACCGCTTTAGTTCCAAAACTAAATGTACAGTACTAAAGTACTGGGATGATTTTGCGCAAACTATTTCCAGTACAATTTAAAGGGTTGCATTCGCACTGACAGTGTGTACTAGGAAATTACATAAGCCGGTCAACAGGGACGTCATTTGTGCGCGGCGTTCAACAACTGAAACAAAGAAGAACAATGTTAACAACAGGAGGATGGAGGATGCTGTGATCGAAGCTGTGTTTTTGTTGTGTCTCATGGGTTTCACAATAATGGACATAGAATGTCGACGTATACGTAAAGCGATTGAAAGAATGGAAAGGAGGACTAGGAATCTCCAACAACAACTGGCAGTGCTACATTTTCTACAAGTGCCTGCACTTCAGCATCCGTCCATCTATCGCTGTTCTCCATACTTGCGAAATAAGTTGACACAATGTTTACAGTATGTTTACATGGCATTTTAAATCATGGTGGGTGAGGGCGTTTTCGTACGTGTTTGGCCAATCAATGTCTACTTGCGTCGCGGGTAGTACCAGATGTGCTGGTTAGACCCTGCTCTGGAGTAGGAGCTAATATGGTTCTCGAAAAAGGCAGTCCGGTACTAAAATCGCACCCAGTTCCGGCGGTGCGAAAATGCCAAAAAGTGGGTTGTTCCACAATTAGTTCTGGTACTATGAAAAGGTTCCCGCGGTGCAAAAGTTTTTGACAACATAATCCAAATAAAACGGTAATTTCCAGACAAAGCATTATGAAATCATTTACTTACAATGTGATGCAGCTGCAGTCAGATCTAGTACCGCTTCATCTTTCAACAAATGTTTTTTTTTTTTGTGAACACTCCATGACACTGTGCCTCATTTACAAAGCAAAATGCTCAGATCGATCCTTTTACACAATCCCAGATGCCATTAAAAATTAAACGATCCACTTGTTCCTTACTCTGGGATTCTTCTGATATCTGTACAAAGATGTGAATGAGCTGTTTAAACCAAATGCGTCAAAGCAAACGTTCTTTCACTCCATTTGTCCAATTGACGTTGACATCATCTTGCCCCATTAGATCCAAAACTAGCTATTTTTTGGAGCTTGATTAAATAAATGCTTTGATTATAATGAGGAGGACGTCTTAAGCTATGAAACTTGCAGTATATATAAAAACAAATAAAAATGTGGGCTGTCAGTCAATTAACATTTTTAATCTAATTAATTACATGATGTGTCAATTAATTAATCTAATTAATCGCAAATTACATTTGGCTGTGAAAATACCCCCAAAAGATTATTTGATGCTATTTTTGTGTTAAATGAGAAAGTATTAAGTAGACATTACAAATAGTATCTTTAGAAATAAATATTTTATTTGATTCAACATATAAACATACAAACATTTAAACGCTTAGGCTACAATGGCCTAATATAAACTTTGGAACACAAAAGAAGATAATTTAAGAAACATCAAAGTTTTTTTTCATTCATGCAATGGAAGTCATTGGTAACCAAAACAGCTTTGTTACAGTCTTCAAAATAACTTATTTTATGTTCAACAAAGGAAGGTAAGTCATTTAGGTTTGAGTAAATCATGACGTCATAAAATTTGTTTGGGTGAACTATCCCTTTAAAGTTTTTTTTTCCTTTTATCCCCCTTTTTTAATTAAATAATAGGCTACTCTAAATAAGTAACTAAAACTGCCAGCAGGTGGCGGTAAATGTCTTTGAGTCTTTCATTTGATTCGTTCAAACGGCTGATTCATTCAGGAATTAAGTAAATGGGTCTCTTTATGAATGGGTCTTTGAATCATCTGTTCACATGATTCGTTCAAAAAGCGGATTCATTCAGAAACTAAACACAGCTGTGTTGCTTGGAGATGCACAACAGTTCTGCTGTGGCTTTATAGGTAATATTTTTGTTGGATAAACTGAGCAAAAACAGACAATATTGTGTTTAAAATATAACACAATATTAATGTCTTATTTACTGAACTGTTGTGTAAAAACACATTTGCACTCGTACTATTCGGGACAAACAGCACTCGTGTGATATTGTTCTCGCTGCTCGTGGGATATCCCTTATAAATATGAGACAAACTCATACAGGAGCATTTTTGGCCCCAATATCTTGAATTTCAGGGCACAATTGCATTTATGAAGTTGTTGCCCTGCATCATATTTGTCAGCAGTCCACTGTATGAAATGTAAGATGACGTACAGGTCTGGGGGCAGGGCCAGTGCGTTAACTGCGTTAAAATATTTTAATCGCATTATTTTTTCATAACTAATTAAGTTAACCATTAAACTGACAGCCGTAAAATGATTAATAATAATAATAAAATCATAATTATTATACTCTGATCAGACCAAAATTGGAAAAATAAATGTTTTGTATTTAGTAATAAATGTTCAGTATTTCTGAGACATTATTGTGAGTTTCTCAGATCCCAAAATAGGGGTCATTCAGATCCCAAACAGAGCATCACAATGATTTTTTTTAAAGCAAAGGAACATACAATAATTTTTAACTCTATCAGGTGTAACTGAACTAAATATAAAGTGGTTTAATTATTCTGTTTATTTCAAACAGGGCTCCAGAGGTGTCCTACCAGCAGAATACACTAATTTCTCAATGTAACATGGCTTGCTCCTGCTCTCTTAAACACTGGGATCCCATATGCGCCGCCAGCAATGGCTTGACCTATGCCTCCCCGTGCCTCGCTGGCTGCCAAACCTCCACTGGAGTTGGCAAGGAGATGGTAAGCTATTCCCACTTTTCCAGACCTTTACATGCCTGTTGCTCAATCGGTTTTACCCACAGACTTCTATGCTTCTATACCTTTTGTTGTTGTTTCGATAGTATACAACATCCATGTATACCTACAGTGACACATTTGTGTAGACAAACTCAAACATCAAAAGTGAAACTGCTGTCGTAATATTTACCCATGTGAAACAAATTTTAGCCATACATATTATTTGTTCAATTAACAGAAAAGTAAATTCAAAGAGGCAGAGAAACTAATTACATTTCTAAATGTTCTAGCAATTTTCTGTTGTTTTAAATTGTATTTTTATTATTTTAAGGGGAGCCACACATTGTATACAAACATGCCAAATTAGAATATTAGTACTAGCAATGGTAGTGCTTGTATCGATTATTTACACCACTAGTGAAAATGCTTCTATTTTGCCAAATTTTATTTTTATTTTTCATTCAACATTTTGAGTGAAAAAATGTACTGAAAAAATATGTAATATGTATATATGTAAAGAGACGTCAGCAGAGTGAGGATCCATCTGCAGCTTTATTGAAATCGTAATCAAACAGGCAAGGTCAGACACCAGCAAACACAACAGAGGAGAGAAGCCAAATCGTAGTCAGGGATGTGCAAAAGGGTCGGGGCAGGCAGCAAACAAACAGTAGTCAAAGAACAATAGCAATAGTTCGGGAATCAACAGAGAGGCCAGACACGCGAAGAAACGCTCAGAAATGTACACCGGGGCAATACAAGACTTCGCAATGAGGGAGAGTCTGAGAGCTGGTTAAATAGTCCACTTAACGAGAGTCAGGTGCAGGAGCAATCAGAGCCAGGTATGTGAGTGTGTGTATGTACTTCGGTGGGTTCTCCTGACCATGGAAATAACGGTGGTTGGAAACCCATTATACATTGAAACGGAGTGAGTCCAGTAGAGGGTTTTTGTAGTGAATTTTGAGCGTACTCTGCCCACATGAGGTAACGGCTGCAGTCAGTCTGATTCTGTTGGCAGTATGATCTGAGGAATCGTGTGATCTCCTGATTGAGTCGTTCCATCTGGCCATTAGATTGTGGATGATATCCTGAGGTAAGGCTGATGTTGACATTTCGTTTTTGAAAGAAAGCGGACCATATTCTGGAAGTGAATTGGGGACCTCGATCCGACACAATGTCCTCAGGGAGCCCATAGATGCGAAACACAAAGTTGCATAGGGATTCAGCTGTTTCAAAAGCTGTGGGTAGTTTGGGGAGAGGAATTAAACGACAGGCCTTGGAAAAACGGTCTATGACGGTGAGTATTGTGGTGTTGTTATTGGACTTGGGGAGGTCAGTGATAAAGTCAATAGCCAGATGGGACCATGGTCGGTGGGGAACTGGTAAGAGTTACAGCAAGCTGGATGGTAGGTGTCTGGGGGATTTACTTTCGTTACAGGTGATGCAACCGTGGATAAAGTCTATAGTGTCAGTCCTCATGGTTGGCCACCAGAATTTGTTCTGGAGGAGATGGAGAGTGGCCGTAATTCCAGGATGACCAGAGCTGAGCCCCGAGTGAACGTGTTGCATGACCCTTTCACGGAGTTCCTGAGGAACAAAGATCTTATCGGGAGGGCATTCGGGAGGGGAGATTTCTTGTGAATTGGCCTGTTCAAGCTCTGTCATGATGTCCCACTGGACGGGGGCCACAATCAATGATTCAGGGAGAAGGCTTTCCTCAGAGTTACTGGGATCTAGGCAGTCGTGTTGACGTGACAAAGCATCCGCCTTGGTATTCCTTGAACCAGGTCGATGTGTGACCGAGAAATCGAAGCGTGTAAAGAACAGCGCCCATCGGGCCTGTCTGGGGTTTAGTCTTTTAGCAGATCGTAGATATTCCAGATTCTTGTGATCCGTCAGGACAACGAAGGGGTGCTTAGATCCCTCTAGCCAGTGTCGCCATTCCTCCATAGCTGCCTTCATAGCCAACAATTCCCAGTTACCAACATCATAGTTTTGTTCAGCAGAACTGAGCTTGCAAGAAAAGTAGGCACAAGGGTGAAGCTTAGGTGGAGTACCATGCCGCTGTGAGAGAATGGCCCCGATGCCAGTATTTGAGACATCCACCTCGACTTTGAACGGGATTTCAGGATCAGGGTGATGAAGAATGGGAGCAGATGTGAAGCATTATTTGAGTTCCTTGAAGGCCTTTAGTGCTGAGGTAGACCATATGAGATATGCAGAGCTTCTCTTTGTCATGGAGGTTAGAGGGGCAGCTACAGAGCTGAAGTTTCTGATGAAGCGGCGGTAGAAATTTGCAAATCCTAAGAAACGTTGTAGTTCTTTTAGTGTTGCTGGATGTGGCCGGTCGAGAACTGCTCTGACCTTCTTCTCATCCATTGCTACTCCCTCCTGACTGATGATGTAACCCAGGAATGACGTACCAGTCTGTTGAAATTCACATTTCTCAGCTTTGGCATACAGCTGATGGTGGATGAGTCTTTGTAACACTGACCTCACGTGTTGTACGTGTTCCTCATATGTGTTGGAGTAGATAAGGATGTCATCGATGTAAACGATTACCCAACAATCCAGCATGTCCCCGGAAGACGTCATTGATGAAGGATTGGAACACAGAAGGACTGTTAGCAAGGCCGAAAGGCATAGCGGAATATTCATAGTGCCCAGTACAGGTGGAGAAGGCTGTCTTCCACTCATCACCCTTTCTGATGCGAATGAGATTGTAAGCGTTGCGGAGATCTAACATGGTGAAGTAGTTGGCCTTGCGAAGTTGCTCCAGAGCAGATGGAACCAGGGGTAATGGGTATCGGAATTTAACAGTAATGTCGTTGAGACCCCGGTAATCGATACATGGACGTAGACCTCCATCTTTTTTCTTAACGAAGAAGAATCCTACTGAAGCTGGTGAGATTGATGGTCTGATGAATTCTTTAGAAAGTTCCTCGTTGATATAGTTCTCCATAGCCTCCGACTCTGGTTGAGATAGAGGAAAGATACGGCGTTTGGGTGGTGTTGTGCCTGAAAGTAAGTCAATAGCGCAGTCGCTAGAGTGGTGAGGGGGTAGTTCTGACGCCTTGGATTTACTGAAGGCCTCCACGAGGTCCGTGTACTCTGAGGGAAGTGTGGATGAGTGAGCTGATTTCTCTGTGAGTTTGACTGCTTGAACTGAGATTGCTGGCTTGTTGCTCAGAAACTTGACTTGACATGAAGGATCCCACTGAATGATCCGACCCTCCTTCCAGGAGATGAGTGGGTCATGTTGTCGTAACCAGGGAAGTCTGAGAATTACCGGGTTATGTGGTGAAGTGATGATGTAGAAACGAATGCTTTCCGTGTGATGGGTCCTGGTCTCCAAACATAAGTCCACGGTGGTGTGCATGACCTTTTCCTCACCCAGAGGACATCCATCTAGCGCCTCCACTGCCAGCAAAAAATTGCAAGGGATTAGAGAGATGTTATGTTGCTGAGCGAATTCGTGTGACATAAAATTCCCCGCTGCCCCTGAATCCAATAGTGCTGAGGTAGATATGTTATTACCCTCTATGGATAGTGTCATGGGTACTTTTATGCATATACTGGAGTGATGTGCCTGAATGCAAGGACTCACTGCCGAGGGATTACGAAGAGGCGGTCGTGTGGGACAGGAAGCCCGGAGATGGCCGGCCACCCGCAATAGAGACACAGATGTTGAATGATTCGGCGCTCTCGCTCCTCTGGAGACAGAATGAGGATCCATCTGCAGCTTTATTGAAATCGTAATCAAACAGGCAAGGTCAGACACCAGCAAACACAACAGAGGAGAGAAGCCAAATCGTAGTCAGGGACGTGCAAAAGGGTCGGGGCAGGCAGCAAACAAACAGTAATCAAAGAACAATAGCAAGTGTTCGGGAATCAACAGAGAGGACAGACATGGGAAGAAACGCTCAGAAATGTACACCGGGGCAATACAAGACTTCGCAATGAGGGAGAGTCTGAGAGCTGGTTAAATAGTCCACTTAACGAGAGTCAGGTACAGGAGCAATCAGAGCCAGGTATGTGAGTGTGTGTATGTGTGTAGTCCGGATAAAGTTCAAAACTTGGGAGAGAGCTCCCTCTGGTGGTGAGCGGGAGGCACGGTGGGAGTTTCATTCGTGAAAATATAATTTGATTTTCAATATGTTTCTGTATTTAGTAGTCCCCCTTTTGACAGCAGCACTTGAGCTGGCATTAAGTATTTGTGTAAACCTGATGATCCATGTGATGCCTGTTTTGTGTGCTTCAAATGTGACCTTTTGTACAAAAACCTGAACATGGGTGGTTACTGTACATTTGATTAGTGACCTTGAATTAGTGTTGAATATTTGTTGTTTAACCTAAATTTCATCACTGTAGAAATGGCCAAATCCTAAACCTTTGTTTACTACTACATTTTAATGGGGAAGGAAAAAACAAACAGACAGACAAAAAAAATATAGATACTGTAGGGTTTACTGTATTAAGACCCTACTGCATTTGTTTGTTTTGTAGTAGTTGACACAATCTGACTCTTTTCAAAGGTATTCCACAACTGCACCTGCATTGGAGATTCGCCTTTCCCATATGCAAACATGTCAGCAGTGCTGGGCCAGTGCCCTCGCAAGAGTGATTGTGACTACATGTTTAAGTTCTACATGGCGGTGACAATCATTGGTTCCTTTTTCCCGGCTTGTGCAGCAACACCAGGTTACATTATTCTGCTCAGGTAATGATTGTTTCCAACAGTGTAATAACACCTTTAAAATAATTGATTGTCTTTAAGATAAACTATATGTAATACAGTACATGGGTAATAAACAATGTAATGTAATGACTGTAATGAAACATTAAAAAAGAGACAGAAAGAAAGAAAGAAATGCATCAAAACTTTGTTTTTACAACATTTACAGTGTATTTTATAATGTATGACATAACACGGTTGATGAGTAGACTAACAGGGTTGAAGTAACACCATTTCTTTAAAAATACATAATGTGTGGCTATGTGTAGCTGCTAACAAACGGACCTTTTTCAAAGTATTGTAGCGAATTTAGCTCGAAATACTGGGGAGTTTTATGACTCTTTGTCTGTAAGCATGGTATTTTGCATATGTAATTCGCTTGAGTGTTGAGGCACAAATTAGTACAGATTCTTAGAACATCAATATGTTGCATAGGTATCAGCATATAATTCTAATAACACGCTTGTTTCGATCATAAAAAAGCGAATTCATAGATACTAGACATGAAATAGGTGAGGTTATATTAACTAGTGGTCTATGATAACATGAATAAAACAGCATACACTACAACAAACAATATACAAGACAGTAATGGTATACACAATGACCAAAGGATATGGGTATTCAATCAAAGAAAGGTTTTCCTATGAATTAATTAGAGAACAGTCCATTTCTCTGGGCATTGTGTGTCTTTCTTATGAGGAAAATGAGGGAGTTTATCCCCTGCATTCCTTTTAGGCCATAAAACCAGTGATATCATGATTAGTTGTCATGGTGACCAAGGTGGGGGATGGTGTTCAGCCGAAATCCTGGCATCCAGTATATTGAGTGAGGGGACTGTGACGATTTGTTAATCTAATGAATAATTGATTTGTTAAATCAAATAAAAATTAGTGTGTCAGATTGGTCGAGACGCTATAGTATATTTCATTAATATTCCACCCTTTTAGACATTCCTCCCTCACTTTTATCCACACAATATACCTTTATATGCAGTGTAGATGCAAGTTTTCCCTTGGCACATGAAACAAAAATAAATTCTGCATCACGTTTGTTTTAGAATTATTTGTTTAGGACATTTCAGATTGGGAAACAGATATTTTAATATGTTCTTTTAACTGTTATTTTCTTAGATCCATAAATCCAGAACTAAAGTCTTTGGCTCTTGGTGTGCATATCCTGCTTATTCGGACTCTGGGTAAGAGGATTTATTTTGTATTTATTTTCAAGACAAGATTATAATACAACAGAAAAAAATATCTCGAGTTGATCGAGGAAAAAAAAATCCTTTTCTAGGTGGAATTCCCCCTGCAATATATTTTGGAGCCTTGATTGACAGGACCTGTCTGAAATGGGGCACAAACCAATGTGGAGGGAGAGGAGCGTGTCGTATCTATGATTCCATTGCCTTCAGGTTAGTAAACTTACAATGGCACTTCCAGAATCACTTCTATGTTTGTTTGTTGAATTTCTGGAAGTGCGAATGTGGGTTTAATGTTTTTGTTGTTGCAAAATTATTTTGTTAACGAATGACCAGAATAATCCTCAGAATAATTTGATAGTTTTCCCTTCAAGCCCTCTAGCACCACCATCAGCTCAAAATTGTCAAGTCAAGTCAAGACAAGTCACCTTTATTTATATAGCACTTTATACAATACTGGTTGTGTCAAAGCAGCTTTACAGTGTCAACAGGAAAATAGTTTGAATTGTGAAAATTGTATATTTCTGCAGCTTATAACTTTTAACACTTGTATTAAAGGGGTGGTTGACTGTTTTTTTTTTCTAGGCTTGATCATACCTGTCAACCCTCCCGTTTTTCCTGGGATTCTCATGTATTTTACCATTCTATCCCGCTATCATCCCATTTAAATATTTTCCTGTATTTCTCCCGTATTTTTTATATTTCTATCAAAAAAAAAAATCCCACTGGGCGTATTTTATATGTTTGCTACATTTGCTTCCGGTAAAACTCCCGCAATTTGTAAGGGCCAAACCTCATTATATGAATAATCACGACAACAAATTCCAAGGTTGTCCAGTTGGCGACGACCCTTATTTTTACGCAGAAAACACGCAGTTGTAAATGTGAACTGGTGAATCGACAAGAAGATAATGAATTATAAAACTCTAAAGATATAGCTTACTTTAAGATATATTTATGTTACTAAATGAATATAATTGTTTGATAATAATTGTTTAAATTAATATAATATAATATAATATAATATAAAATTGTTTACTTTTGGCTCGATTGTGTTTATGGGGTGCAGTCTAACATGTGTTAATGCGTCGTTTAAAAAAAACGAAGCATTAACATCATCATTTCCTGCTTTTATGAAGCTCCTCCCTCAGAAATACGCAATGGGCTCTGATTGGTTAGCTAGTACAGTGTGTTGTGATTGGCTAAACCGCCTCTAGTGCGCGTCTAAATGTCCCACCCCTCACCTCAGCGGCATGTGCTCCGGTTGTATTGTAAACAATGGCGTCATCTATATTGCTTATCAACTTGAGCCCGATTGAGACGCAGAGGATATTTGTGAAGAGGATCGCGTAGAACCTCTGCAAGCATGGCTCTTAATGGTATGTTTATTTTGTTTGTTGTGTGTCTCGTACTTTTAGATACGCTGTTATTTGTAAATGCTACTGCTTCTGTTAGCGTTTAATATACGGTTTTATCCTGATTAAAGCTTTAATACAGTACGGCAAACGCACATGCGTCCATGTATAACGCTTCTCATAGCTATGTAAAAATAAGTGTATAAATGGAACAGTTCATTGTTTGAGCTGAGCTGGTGATCTGAATGATAGATTGGGTGAGAGAGAGGGAGAGAGAGAGATGCAGAACGTGTACAGAGCAGGGCGACGCGAGGAACAGGATTGAGAACCGCTGCTTTAGAACATTGATTTTGAAACTTGTGAATCCTTTAGAATCGTTAGAAGACAGAATCGCAATTTATATATGAATAGATTTTTACGTGCACCCCTAGTTTTCTTCCTCTTCTCTAAAGCAGGGCAACATGGCCCTGCCCCCTTTGTTGCATGTTCCCGGGGGGCGGGGTTTGTCTGGCCTTGTGATGTCACAAACCCGGGAAGTAACTTGTTGTAGTCCTTACCAGTCATTTTTGTAGGCATTAAACTGCCAGAATTTTAAAAGGCGATATCTTCGTTTGCATTGAACTTTCAGCGCCACAACTTTGCAGATATTTTTTATGCTCAAACAGCAACATTACATACTAACTAACGTTAAAAAAGTGAAATCGCAATCAACCACCCCTTTTAACTTAAACTTGTAACTTGTGTTTTCATTACTGCAGTCATAACATGACTTTTTTTCTCTACAGAAATTCTTACTTGGGTGTTATTTATGGCCTGTTTGCTGCATCCTTTGTGCTGTGCGGAGTCCTGTACAATAGACTGTCTCATCGTGAAAAGAACCAAGCACTGAAGTCCCAATTAAAAGCTCCAGAACAGGATGGCAATGGTGTTTCAACTGGCAATAGGAATGTATCTTCATCTATCATAAAATGCGATGAAAAGCCAGACCAGGAGACCACTATCTGAAGTCTTCCAGTCAAATGTGTCCATTGCACTAAAAACTGTTATAAAGATATAACTCCCAAATCCATGTAAAATGTAAATGTTTTGGCTGTGAAGTTGTGTTAAGTTGTATGTTTATTGAGTAGATGCTGTTTGTGAACAGAGACTTTCAAAGTTCAACTTATTGACCTTTTGCTACAACACATTTTAGCTATTTTCTGAATCTAATACATAAAGTTGTATTTCTATTATTTACACACTTATCAAAACATACATCTGTTCTTAAGATAGAAAGTAATTATACGCAAAGAAACCTGGCTTGAAGCTCAGGCCTTTAAGTTTAACCCTTGTATTATGTTCAATTTCTGGGTACGATTTTGATGGAGTTTCGTTGTGAAAGCAAAACTACTTTATTTGGCTTTCCAAAAGAGGACACGACTAGAAATCAGTGGTTAAGTTGTATTTACACTGTTCCAGAACACTTCAACCCAAATGTTCAGATGTGTGCAGCGCATTTTATGGAGGACTGTTTCCTGATCCTGGTAGAGTAGACTACAATGCCGGCTATGCCGGTAAGTACGTTTTTTATATTTAAAGAATTTTCCACTGACGATTACAACCCCATCTTGAGAGGCGGGGATCTTCTCCGACCTTAAAGGCACCGCTCCAGGGACCCACCCATTTGGTGGTTTGTTGGAATTCTGAGAGGTGGTGAGATACACAAAATAATGTTCTTTTTAGCAACATCATATGACCCCTTTAATGCAATTCCCTAAATATCACATTATTAAAAACAAGAAGGAATCAGGTATGAACAGAAAACTTTTTAATATCTGTATTTGTCACACAGTGCAAACAATATCAAAAAGTATGATTTTTAAAAATATGTTTAACCACATTTTTTAACCCCTTAAATGTTACCGTCCCGCTGGTAGAAGTTTACTTCTATATTACTATATTCTATACTACTATATTACAGTTAAATCGTAATCTAATCATGGCAAACTATATATCGTTGAACAGGTCTAAGACTCCTAAATAGATATTTTATCACTGTTTTTGTTACAAATTATGTAGGAACAGTAATAGATTGATTTATGACAAGAGTGCACCTCAAAACATATACTACATCATAATAGGAGCCTCAAAATTCATCCTTGCGAAAACTATGGAAATGGTACTTTAAAAATTTTTATTGGGCTCCTCCCCCTTAGTGGGGGTGTCATTTTACAAAATGTATTATGGTCTTTTAGAATCAAAACGTTTTATAATCTTGACAAAATACATGTCGTTGGAAAGGTCTGAGTCTCAAGATTCCATATTTGGTGGTTATTTTGAGATAGAAGTAATATTGAGAGAAAAATTGCATCCAAAAAAAATCTATGGAATTTGAATGGCACTCGGTGGCTAGTCTTGGTATAAAGCCTAAACAAAATTGCATAGGAAACTGATTTTTTTTTAATCAACTTCAAATTTGGAACACAACTTATTTAGACATGTTCATGTCCCTAAATGAGAAAAAGTTATAAAATTTCTGGAAGAAAAAGATAAGTTAAATAGTATTTCATATACATTGAAAATAGAAATGATAGCTCACTTTTACCATCTGAGTCTGAGGAAGTCTTTTTCAGTGCTGAAAATAATGAGAAAAGGCTATTTTTTCCCTTTCCTGGGTAGCAAAACACCAACATAACAACATATACCCAAGAAATATGTTTAATTTGGATCTGTACAGTTGCTTTGAAAAAACAAAAAAAGTGGGTCAAATTGACCCGCGAATATCAAAATCGTCAGAAAATTATTTGTGTGCACTTCAAAACACATCAGTGTATCCTCCCTTTGCATGCATGTTCATAGCCCTAAATGAGAAAGTCACAAAATATCAAGAATAAATCACAAATGAACTGGTATTTCCGACAGCTCGAAAATCAAAATGGGTCAAACTGACCCGGAACATAATACAAGTGTTAAAAGCATCATAGCCAAGTCTACATCTACATCAAACCTATTTGTTCCTGTTTCTCTTAAACCTTTCATTTTGTATTAAACCTTTCATTTTGTATGTTTCTCTTATTGCTTCAGAATTTTGTTCCATTTGACTGTAAGTGCCTTGTGAAGTGGACATCACAGGATATTCCACCATGATTCCAGTTCAAAAGAAGCGTATATGTTCCAGGCAGTGGTGTAGCGCAAATCCGTGTTCTAAAGTGAAGTAAACCTAAGCCGAATTCCTGTGTGCAGGGAGTAGAGAGCATTAAACACTGTGTAGGGACCATATCAACCATATCGCAAACGAGCTGGTGATTTGAATTAGGTGTGTTAAACAAGAGGGACATGCAAAATATTCAGAGCGGGGTCGCCAAGACCAGGATTAAGAACCGCTGGATTAGTATGTTTGTTTTATTTATTTAAATCACCCTATTTAATATAAGAATGAGTAACAAGACAAGTAGTTTATGAAATATATAGTAGGGTGCACACTTATTATATTTTTTTGTCGAACTTTACCCGAGTCCTAGATTACTCTGGTCCATGGAGTGAACGGCTGCATTTGTGTGTGTGTGTGTGTGTGTGTGTATGTTAGACCAGTTTATGTGTGTATGTAGTCTGTTAGACTAGTTTAAGTGTTTATGTAGTTAATAAAACCTTACTTGTATCACACTTGACGTGGTTCATTGTTTGCTTATAACTGGAGTCACTTAATCATGCAGATTTATGCTACAAGCTTTTGTAGAATTGTACAGTAAGAAAGTTATTTCCCTTAACCAGGAAATTAACGTTCTTAGAATTGACAAGACAGTTGACCCTGAGAGGTCAGCTAAATATCTACAGCGGATCTAAATATTCATAATTAATTATAACTAGTTATGATTAATTATTCATATTTCCCATGAGCTGATTTGTTACAAGTATGTGGAAAATAATCTGTTTTTTGAACCTTAAACCGCATAAACACATTTCATTACACTGAATACACAAAATAATGTTCTTTTTAGCAACATCATATGACCCCTTTAATGCAATTCCCTAAATATCACATTATTAAAAACAAGAAGGAATCAGGTATGAACAGAAAACTTTTTAATATCTGTATTTGTCACACAGTGCAAACAATATCAAAAAGTATGATTTTTAAAAATATGTTTAACCACATTTTTTAACCCCTTAAATGTTACCGTCCCGCTGGTAGAAGTTTACTTCTATATTACTATATTCTATACTACTATATTACAGTTAAATCGTAATCTAATCATGGCAAACTATATATCGTTGAACAGGTCTAAGACTCCTAAATAGATATTTTATCACTGTTTTTGTTACAAATTATGTAGGAACAGTAATAGATTGATTTATGACAAGAGTGCACCTCAAAACATATACTACATCATAATAGGAGCCTCAAAATTCATCCTTGCGAAAACTATGGAAATGGTACTTTAAAAATTTTTATTGGGCTCCTCCCCCTTAGTGGGGGTGTCATTTTACAAAATGTATTATGGTCTTTTAGAATCAAAACGTTTTATAATCTTGACAAAATACATGTCGTTGGAAAGGTCTGAGTCTCAAGATTCCATATTTGGTGGTTATTTTGAGATAGAAGTAATATTGAGAGAAAAATTGCATCCAAAAAAAATCTATGGAATTTGAATGGCACTCGGTGGCTAGTCTTGGTATAAAGCCTAAACAAAATTGCATAGGAAACTGATTTTTTTTTAATCAACTTCAAATTTGGAACACAACTTATTTAGACATGTTCATGTCCCTAAATGAGAAAAAGTTATAAAATTTCTGGAAGAAAAAGATAAGTTAAATAGTATTTCATATACATTGAAAATAGAAATGATAGCTCACTTTTACCATCTGAGTCTGAGGAAGTCTTTTTCAGTGCTGAAAATAATGAGAAAAGGCTATTTTTTCCCTTTCCTGGGTAGCAAAACACCAACATAACAACATATACCCAAGAAATATGTTTAATTTGGATCTGTACAGTTGATTTGAAAAAACAAAAAAAGTGGGTCAAATTGACCCGCGAATATCAAAATCGTCAGAAAATTATTTGTGTGCACTTCAAAACACATCAGTGTATCCTCCCTTTGCATGCATGTTCATAGCCCTAAATGAGAAAGTCACAAAATATCAAGAATAAATCACAAATGAACTGGTATTTCCGACAGCTCGAAAATCAAAATGGGTCAAACTGACCCGGAACATAATACAAGTGTTAAAAGCATCATAGCCAAGTCTACATCTACATCAAACCTATTTGTTCCTGTTTCTCTTAAACCTTTCATTTTGTATTAAACCTTTCATTTTGTATGTTTCTCTTATTGCTTCAGAATTTTGTTCCATTTGACTGTAAGTGCCTTGTGAAGTGGACATCACAGGATATTCCACCATGATTCCAGTTCAAAAGAAGCGTATATGTTCCAGGCAGTGGTGTAGCGCAAATCCGTGTTCTAAAGTGAAGTAAACCTAAGCCGAATTCCTGTGTGCAGGGAGTAGAGAGCATTAAACACTGTGTAGGGACCATATCAACCATATCGCAAACGAGCTGGTGATTTGAATTAGGTGTGTTAAACAAGAGGGACATGCAAAATATTCAGAGCGGGGTCGCCAAGACCAGGATTAAGAACCGCTGGATTAGTATGTTTGTTTTATTTATTTAAATCACCCTATTTAATATAAGAATGAGTAACAAGACAAGTAGTTTATGAAATATATAGTAGGGTGCACACTTATTATATTTTTTTGTCGAACTTTACCCGAGTCCTAGATTACTCTGGTCCATGGAGTGAACGGCTGCATTCCACATTTTAGCAAACAAATGGAGGGGTGGTGCTTCAGTTCGCAAATTTGTGGTACACCAGAGGAAATTTGACTACTTCTTCTTTTTCCATTTATTAGTGGATTGCCTCAAATTTCACGCATTGCCACCACCTAATGTAAGCACAATCCAGAGACTCTAACCACAACCCATTCCCCAACAAGAGGTCTCATTCAACCTGTGCTGCCTGTTCCGGAAAAAACAAAAACAAAACACTTATATTCTGTTGATTATTCTCCAAAAATATAAACAATGCTTT